GACTCGAACACCAGCTTGGAATCGTCAGCATTTAGCCCTCCGGACATAATTGATACACTAAAATGACTCTTCTAGTGGCTGAAGGTCTATAAGGGCAAGATTACAGTCGAACGCCTTGGTTCGCGTCCACTTTTGACTCGAGAGGTAGGACAGTGAAAGTAGATCTATTCAGTCGGGTTTAGCCGGGGACGTTACCGCCACATCGTCCCTCGAGCTCTTTGCCTCACCCACTATTAAACGAAAGAAATGAAGCGGACGCTCCCTTTTTCGCTCGCCTTGACTTGCCTATTTTCCCTTGTAGCAGCCCAGTCCCTGTTGACCACTACTGATGATACGTCAGTATTGCCGTTCGTCACTAGCCCATCGAGGCGACTAACACGGGTTCCGCAACTCTGTCGCGTTGTGCAGTTCTGGGTCCACCGTTATTTTGTCCCTTTCCGATGATCCCGTAGCAGGAACGACTGCCTCGACCGTAATGTGAGACACCCTGCCCTTGACTTTCCTATTTTGGGCTGACCCTGTTGCAACCCATAGTTCGACCATTGGATCTACTACATCTACTCTCCCCGCGAAGAGTAAGTCCTACTTTAGAAGTTAAATACCGATACCAATACCATGAATTTAGCATTCCCATCACCAACACAGACCGGCACTGCCTTGCCGCCTTTCTCGTCCTTTGTCGTATCCTCCGGTTCCATTGTTGCCTTAAGCGATTACTCGCGAACCGGGTTCCCATCGAACTACCCTGGAAGGGGTGACGCTCAATTGTCTGCTAGGTTTTCTAGGGATTTGAGCGGACTCATTGGTTTCGCAGTCTCAATATTTGGCTGTTTTCTTGCCGCCATCCTCATACTCTAAGTAGATCATATCCCTTTGCATGCATGGACATCCTATATTTCGTACTGTAATTGAGACCAGCACATTTACTTATTTATCACCTTTCCGTCGACCCGGATTCCTGCTACCTGATATTACAAAGTCAAAGCATATGAACATACAAAAATATGTCGTAAGGATGCTAGAATGAAAAGGTTGGATGGGTCCTGGAAAGTTAGGAGGTGGCCGCGGGCCGCAGGGATCTCAATCTGCTGACTAGCTCGGCATCCTCATCGTGGAGCTTTGACTCCGGCTCCTTCAACTCAGGTACCCTCCCGGCAAGATCAGTCGCACCAAGACCTTGTTGGACCTCAATATTCGCTTCCTCTGCAGTTTGCTGCAGGAGTAAGTCAATCTGATCTTGTGGTGTTGTGGTGGCAACAGTGGACACCATCGTATCTTCCATATACGAAGTCTGCACCTCTAGATCGGAGAATTGAGCTTCGAATTTGTCCATGATAAGAGAGATCTGGAAGATCATTCAGTAACCATCAGTTGTGCAGAATCCCGAAACAGGTACTCGTTCTAAATTCATGGAGTCCATAGCTTTGTCCATTCCTTTGACCACAGAAGCCATGTTTCCCGACACCTATACAGAGGAAGGACAAGTCACACTGCCATTCATCGAGATGGGAAAGAACGGACCTGACGCATTGTTACAGCAGTCTCGACACGGCTAGCCACTGCATCAATCCGACTAGAGAGTCTGAGTAGATTCAGAGCCTCATTCTTCTTTCGTATGGCGTTTGACGCATAGATCCTGGCTCCGTCCGTGTTACCCTGCACAAGCGCCTGCAGCGAAATCCAATGTCAGAATCTGGATGTAAAGGTTTTGTGTAAATGAATATTGCCTTCTTCAGCTTGGCCTTCTCCGAGGTCTCATCCTTTTGAGCCTTCTTCGACTGACGATTCAGAGTTTTGGCAGTGAACTGTGGAAAAGACAGAGAGTGAGGGGTGAAACAGGGACCTCAGGATCATCGTGCGGACTTTAAGCTGAAAGAGTGTCTCTGCCACAACATCAGTCTCATGAGAGCCAGGGAATATCAATCGGCCGTACTTTCCAGGTTGCTCATCGTTCGCTTGTTCCGTTGGCGCAAGTCAACCGCCGAGTCTTTGGAAGCAGTCAGATGACCGTCCCGACAGAGATATAATATTGGAAAGGCACAACTATCGCGGCTCGCTGACCGTCTATGGTGCCATGGTATCTGTATTGCATGGGTTGGGATATATTGCCATCTTCGCAACCTTCTTATTCGTTACCCTTAGCTTAGGTATGAATCATTCCCCCGGATTAAGTTCTCTTCTCTGATCCGTCTTCTGCAGCAAGCGGTCTTCTGTGGCTGTCGGAGGTCATTGAAGAGCACTCTACAACAGCAAAGGTTGTTGGGACACGAACCATATATGTGAGTGTACATTATATCGCCTGCATCTCGCTGACCGCGTTCCAGGTTGTTATCATTCTGCATGTACTGCTCTGGCTCATTGATTCTTTCCCCTTCCCTCAAATCGCATTTTCCATACTCTGCCATTGCGTCTACCTCTCGAATTTCACACCCTCCTGGCCCTTGATATCCCTTACCTCCCCCTCTTTCATATCTTCGTGTTTGTTAGTACTGACCGACCATTTCGTATGGTTCTTCTACTTTTCGAAACGGACGCGTGCAGCCCGGTATGGGCACGCAAATTGGAAGCCCCCTCAAGGTGCGCTCACCTTCGCCGAAATCTCAACTTTTTTCGGCGTATGCGTGTGGCTTGTGCCGTTGTTTTTATTCTTAAGCCTGAGTGCCAACGATAATGCACTCCCAGTTTCTCACGGTACGTTGGGTGGTGTCCACTCAGCCTCACTCTAACTGCTTCAATCCAGGTGACTCGAGCGTTCCCGGCACACCGGTGTTGACGATTGACGACCCATTTTCCGGCTCTGCCCCATCAATCCGCATTGAGCAATCCACTCCACTTCCCAACCAGACGCTGTTCCAAAAAATTTTTAGCCCAATTATATCTGCGCTTCCAGATATCCGCCGTAAACGCACTTCCCGAAACCTCGACGGGATCATTGCGCCCCGAACACCAAACAGAACACGCACACCTAGTCCTGTCGATATTCACATCACAAGTCCATTGCCTAGTCCCTCTGTCCCAATGTACTCCCCTTCATGGACGTCATTTGATGGCCCGTCTTCACCCCACAGTCCACGGTTTGCAAAACTCCAGAACGATTCGTTCAACCGACGCGGCCCATTATTGACGGCAACACCAACTCGTCGTGCTACAACTGACGGTACTGGATCGCTCGTTTCTGCATCCGCTTCGGGTGTTATAAGATCAAATCGCGCGGTGTCATCTAAGGACGAAGGAAACGGTCTTGCTGAGCGGCGACGTCCAGTCCTTACGCCACTGGATTTACAGAATAAAGGCGACGCCAGTGGCCACTCAATTTCACTCGATCATAGTCAGGAAGGAGGCATGCTATAGGTCCTTAGCTCTCGATCTTCTCCATTCGTTGACAATAATGCACGGACTTCACTGTTATTTAATTGTTCCCCGGTATGCAGCCACATGTGAAACACTCATTGCTCACTGGCCTCGCGTGTTGACTGGGACGGACCACTACATTCTTTACACTTGGTCGCTTGTGACTTCGCATTTCAGTATCCCAAGGCTTGCACTCCACTGTTATTCTACTGGCCCGGTCATACGCAATTCAGCCCAACGAGATTCCCCATACGCTCTCCCATCTGGTGGGATTCTAGACTCTCATTCCTGGTACATATCAGAGGCCTGCAAGGTAGCGGTACATGCGGCTTTGCTGCCCCTTTGGTTGAGTTTTGCATTTGGCTTAGTACTTATTGTGTCCAAGAGGATGCCTGGTGATTCCAGACCGAAATGAGCTATCTTCACAATGCAAGAAGTCGCTGCGAGGACGCATTGCAATTCGATGCGTGGGACACTGGCTGGATGCCTGCCGACGAAAACTTCGTGGATTTCGTGTGCACCACAAATCCGTAGTACTTAATCGACTGCAGAATGTGCAGGTTCGGTCCACGGAAGCTGCTGAGTTGCTCTGCTTGGATGCTTCGGCGCACCATGACGTGCACCATGACCCTAGATCTGTTTCGACTCACTCTCGGGTGGCCCATCAAACACTAAAGCACTGAGGAAGCGCAACCTGTATTCAGTCTCCTGCTGATCATGACCAGCGGTGTGATTTTCTGGAAGACAATCAGCGGGGCCTGGCTGCCAACACTCGAGCGAGAATCAGTGTGTTTGAGAACATATCTGAGGTCCCGAAATTGCAAATGGGTCAAGTCGGCATCAAGAAGACTTGGTTCGTGATCAGTTTTCGTTCCTGGAACCAAGGTGTATTGAGCCTGTTCATTCGTGGTGGTTCGAATTTGGAACGTCCCTTCAGTTGGTACCCCGCATTTTTCGTCTGAGCCTCAGTCTGAACTAGACTGCATTCAACCGATTAAGCTATTGCTGAGGATAAGGACTCGGAGACGATGGTTGATTATTCTGCGGTCCCAGTCGTCCTTAAAATTACATAGTGATGACAGTTCGCTTGTGCATATAACACAATATATATAGGAGTCTAGTGCGAGGGCACATTCCGCACCCCATCGCTGTGTATGTGGAACGCGTATCACGCATAGAGGTGGGGAACGGAAGCCACAGGTGCAATTATATTCACTGATTGGTAAACGTTCAGCGGGACCAATGCACTCAAATGACGCGTCCACAAGGAGGCAACCAAGTGGATCTGTGTTGGAAGTAGGGGTGCCGTAGTTCTCAGAGAACCGGTTCGAACCGGGACTGAACCGTGAACTGAACCATCCTGGAACCGAACCACGGTTCGGTTCTGATCTGGTTCCGCTCCGGTTCGGTTCTGGTTCTCTAAGTCAGGAAGGTGTTGTGAACCGGTTCTGAACCAAACTGAACCGCAGAACTGTAGAAGAACAGGTAACCCCTCTTGAATCAATATTGCAGGAAGCATTTCTTTATGATAATTTTACATTTTCGTCGGATGATTCGGAGTTGACCGAAAATTTGAAAGAAAAGGAAATTTAACTATACAGTAGTCTCGGACCGGTACAATTCTGGCAAATCCTTGGCAAATCCTACCAATGGGGACCTCTTCTGGCGATGAAAGCGAGTTCCATACAGACCCAGAAAATCCAATGCTGGGTCCGGATGGTAAACTTCGTGATGCTGCGGACAAACCTGATCAATTTGTATTCAGTCCTTCGGATGTTCAGCCAAGCCACCCTTCTAACTCTGAAGGGTACAACCCAGATAATGACCTGCCTGCGGCTCATCGAGTGGCACAGCGGCCTAAGCGGGTTGTGAAACATATTACTCGTGAAAATCCGATTGAAGCTTTCGAGCAACAAAAACTATCTGCCAAAAACAAAAACAAATCTAGTGCTTTCCGGAACAAAGATTTGGGCATTGGTGCTTCCCAGAAAACTCTCGCAGCTTTCTCAAAAAATGGTCTTCAATTGGACAATCCCAAGTTACCGAGTAATGCAAAACGACCCATCAAATCAATCTATGCTGGAATGTCTGGAGATTCCTCCACATCGGATGGAGAGTTGACCACGGAACAGAGTACGAAGCGTGGGCGTCACCAGGTGAAGAAGGCCCCGAAGCGGGCCAGAATTGATAATGCAACAAAGGCACTCAAACCTCTCTCTGCACCTGAAAATGCGGAGCTGGGTGGAGGGGCTGGAGTTTGGGAAGAGGATGCACCTGGGGCTAATGAGAACCAAGACGAGTTTGCCTGCAAAGATGCACAGGCTGCACTTGCAGTCAAGCAGTCTCAGAAAGCGCGAAGAATGCAAGACCTCGAGACGGTGTTCACTGAAGTTATTCATGATGACCAAGGGAGCTATCGGGTATGCCGAGTATGCCAGTAAGTGCCAAATAGAGTCAGTGGTCCGGGTGAACATTATGAAATAGATCTGCTCACGACAACGGGGACCGGTCAAGACTCTTAACACCACGATTCTCAGCAAGTTCTGGCTCCAGCACACTTCGCAAACATATCAGTCGTAGTGGGGGGGATCACTGGGACCTCTATATGAGGCAATGCAACACCCTTGGAGTTGCACCTGATGATAGAGCAATACCGGATGTGGTACGACAGGCGGCTTTAGTGGCCAGCAAGTAAGTTCAGATTCAATTCAATTTGTTTCGGGACCACCCTCATGAATCACAGGACAAACCAACGACGGATCACAAACTTCTATCGCCTAGCTGAAGATGAGATATCATGGACTGTGGAGGGGTTACTTCATAGAATCGAGAACTTGATCATTGAGCATGATCTTGTGTGTTATTTTGACTATTCCCGGATCAATAAAACTAACTTTCCCTAGGCCTTTGACTTCGTTGATTCAGACTCATTTCGTGATTTAATGAGATATCAAGCCCGTGCAGGCCTTGATAGTTCCCCACACTACAAGGAGAAGGACCTTCCTCACCGGACAAAACTTACCAAACTTATTATGGAGCGGTCAGAAACTGTCACAGCGGACTTAAAAAAGCAGCTCATGGCATGTTTCCACCCCTCTCATCATAGCTGCTGATGTGGATTGACTATTTGATACAGGAGGTACCAGGTCTGGTTCATTTTTCGTTCGATGCATGGACATCTGCGACTATGAGGGGCTTTCTCGGGGTGACGTGTCACTTCTTGGACAATAAATGGAATGTTCACTCAGAGCTAATGTCTTTCCGTGAGCTTGATGGGCCTCACACAGGTGAAAACATTGCAAAGGTATTGCTAGCAGAGATCACAGAAATGGTACCAGCGGCAAAGGTGAGTATTCAACTAACTTCTTACCGATACTGCTACAATTTAATTAATGAGTAGATTGGTTACATCGCATCAGACAATGCTTCAACAAACGATGCAGCAATGCATATTATGGGCGATATTCTCAGTGAGGAACACAACACCAGATGGGTTGCTTCCCGCTACTGCGTCAGGTTTGCCAGTGATGTTTGGCATTATGGTCGCGTTCCTGACTTACACTGTGCATTGACCAGATGCATGGGCCACATTGTCAACTTGGCCCAACAATCATTCATCACTACTCTTTTGGGTGATACTGGCATGCAGCCTCGCGACACCGATGATGATGATGGGATCGATCTCTCCGGTCTTGAGATCTCCCCTATGGAAGGTATCCTAATTGGGCCACTGTTAATCCGTGTTCGCACTTTAATCATTCGTGTGAGTTATGATTCCACAGCAACAAATTTATATTTAACACAGAGCTGTGGCAGATCCGCAAGTCCCCCGGTGCAAAGCATTATTTACGAGAATGTTGCACCAAAGTATTTATCAAACCATTGGAACTCATCATGTACGGAAATACACGCTGGGGGTCCTGGTTGTTACTTTTGAGCCGATTTATTGAGTTGCGACCTGTATGACAGTGCCAGCCTGTTATTGTGTGCTTCACTTACTTTATAATAGGCTATTATGCATTTCCTCGAACACGTGGATCGCAAAGACTCCGTACCAAAGGCAAAGGGTCGTACACCCAAATATAGCACATGGGTATTCAGCGATAATGATTGGAATACTATGGGATTAATTGTTGATGCACTTAAGGTACGTGAAATTTTTGCTTTATAGGAATATCCAGGTAACCATCTTGACAGGTTGCCGCTCATGCTCAACAATCATTTTCCGGAACATCAAAGGTCTCGAGTGCTACGCGCTTGCTCTCAGTGTACGAACAACTTATTACCAGCTGGGAGGGAATGCAAAAGACACCAAAATATGCGTGTATCTCTGATGCCCTTAATGCCGGCATCGCTCTTTTGGGCAAGTATTATGATGAGACAGATGTGTCCCCTCTTGCCGTTCTCAGCACAGGTATGTCATCGCGAAACCTCTCATGTGGGATGTGATATGTATCCACTTGCGTGCTCTCAATCTAGTTCTTGATCCGAAAATAAAGGATTCGTATATTAAGCATTATTTTGCATCTTCATTTCGAGAGAAAGCGATGCAGACTGTGCAAAATATTGTAGGTACCAAATCTCTGAGTCTCTGAATGTAACTTACCTAAGTATTACAGTTTCTCGAGTATCGTACCGCATATGCGGCACAATCCAGTGCCCCAAATGCAAATGAACTCGGAACAGATGGACCCGATGTACAGATGATTCCAGCTGCCCTCTCAGCTGATGAGGTGTATGGATTTTCACGGCGCCTTGCAGCCAGTCAAGCTCGGCGAGCCCAAGAAATAATAAGCGACAATCCTCATGCAGAACTTAATCGTTACCTTAATGACCCGCTTGAACCACCCGGCACTGACATTCTCGATTTCTGGATGGTAGCGTCACCGACATTTTGTCTCAACTGCTCTCTGGATTGACTGTATAATTTTTTAGAACAAAGGCCCTACATATCCAATTCTGACATCCATTGCCCGGGATCTCCTTTCAGTCCCCGCATCTTCCATCCCGTGTGAGAGGGCTTTTTCTGGTGCAAAACACACAGACAGTGAAAATCGGAGCTGCCTTACTCCCGAGCACCTTGGTGCCATTCAGATTGCCAAAGCTGATATACAGCGGAATTACCTTAAAGAACGGGAAGCAAGGAAGACTGTGGAGGCTGCGAAGATTCAGGAATGGCGGGAATATGAAGCCAGTCTTACAGAGAGAAGGGACTCTTAATGATGAAGTAAAATTGCATATTTTGAGTACTTATACATGCATAATTGCAATAGATAACTTTGTCGGCAGTGAATGCGTGTTCGAACCGTTCAAAACCGAACCGAACCATAACAGAACCGAAATGGGGTTCGGTTCGGTTCAGATACTGGTTCGGTTCTGGTTCGACATTATCACCAAAATGTGGAACCGGTTCTGGTTCTGGTTCTCAAAAAATGGCCCCAGAACCGAACCGAACCGAACCGTGGCACCCCTAGTTGGAAGCACCCTAGTCGACACTGAATAACAGCCCAAGAGCGGAATGAGAGATCGACGGTATGGTTACGGAACATCTGGGGTGCGCACTTCCAGGGCGTACTTACATAAAACAGGCACATAATAAAAAGAAGAAGAAATAGGGGACTTGGGAGGCGAGTAGCACCGGCCTGGGAGGGAATCCCGCCGGCGCTTGCCGCTAAGCCTCAGCGACCGTGGCAACCCTTCTTCAGGTTTCTTGGTACTGCCAGTTCGTAAGTTCGTATTCGGTGCTCAGTCCACTTGAATTTCTGAGGGGCCTGACACTGGTCCTCATACACCTGATCGTTATGCATGACCATCTGTCCCCCATCGATTCAATTACCCACGGATAAGTAGCTCCGGCACACAGTACTTAAATTACATCTATATAACCGTACAGAGGCCTCAGGGGCCTTGAGCATTTATAAGCTCACCGTTGAGTGCCCAGAGGTCTCTTTCCTTCGACCATCATGTCACTGCGACAAAAAGTTGAAAGTCTCAGGCAAAAGATCGATGATATCCTCGTAGCGGGAGGCGATATAGCCGTACCAATTCTCACAGCCGTCAACGCTGCGACCGATATGTGCCCTCCTCTAGAGAGCGCGGCTAGTGGCGCACTCTTCATCGTCAGCGAGGTTCAAGTCAGTAAATTATTCATGCTGGGTTCGCGCGAACAATGGCTAATGGTTTGGGTTGGGCAGAAGTTCAAGGAGAATAAGAAAGAATGGGAGGGCTTTGGAAAATATGTCGTGGACAACGTGGCCGAAGTAGTTGCAGCCATAAAGTCCTATGATCCGTCAACGGAAGAGGCAAAGCTATGGGTGGAGAGCGCTGAGGGGCTTGATCGGTGAGTTTCATCTATTTTTTGACAGCCTTCGTGTTTACATCAAGTTTCAGTGCGTTACAAAAGATCAAGTCCAAAATCGAACGAAGACGCACAAAAATAGAGAAACGGTCGGCTTTAATCAATGCATTGTCCCACTTGAGAGATCCGGGGAGGATTGATTCCCTAAAGAAGGGTCTTGACAAAGCAATCACGTCGTTTCGGGTAATTTTTCTTCACGGTGTCGTTCCATAATCCCTCTGATTGTTCCCAATGCAGCCTGGAACGAATTTAACGGTTGGAGTGAAATTGCCGGCCATTGACGATGACTCGATTCTTGGTGGACTCCGATACCCTGATGTCGCCCACCATGACTCAACTCAGGCGTGCCTAGAAGGCACTAGGGTCGGTCTGACGGACCGTATCATGGCCTGGTGCCACAACACCAGGGACGGGAATCGTGTCCTGCTGCTGACTGCTGCAGCCGGTGCTGGCAAGACTTCGATTGCGCACACGATTGCGGAACGATGCGCGAGGGAGCATTCCCTGTTGTTGAGCTTCTTTTTCAAGGCCGGTGAACAGTCGCGGCCTGATTGTCTGTTCAGCGGGATGGCTCGAGCGTTAGCAAACCACGATCAGGTTTATCGCTCCTCCATTATCTCTGCTCTTCAGGACGACCCCACAGTCTCAACAGCACCGTTTGCGATGCAATTCAGGAGATTGGTGGCTCCACTCCTCCTGCATAAGCCTCCACTTTCCCGTCGTCCTATGGTGGTCATCATCGATGCTTTAGATGAATGTGACGAAGAAGCATTTGAGCCTCTTGCCAATATTCTTCGGGAAGAAGTGCCTAAATTACCGTCCTTCATAAAGTTCTTTATCACATCAAGACAATTCGGTCGTGTCAATCGCTCCCTCTCATCCCATTTCCATATCGATCGTTTTACCATAGATCTCTTGGATGATGCAAACGTGCAGGACTGCGCGACGTACATACGTTCCCAACTGCAGACGCTGAAGAATTGGCATCCCGATATACGGCATAAACTCGGGGATGAAGAAAAAGTAGTAGAGGGGATCTTGGAACGAGCAGGTGGCCTGTTTATTTGGATCAGTACCATTTTTCGCTACATGAGGAAGGCTGCCAAGGACCCTATGAGGACGCTGGAGGGACTGCTTGGCACAGGCGCGAAGGGATCGGCAGTTTCTGCTAAGGGGATGATGGATCGGTTATATACAGGTATCTTGAAGAAGTGTGGCTGGGAGGATGAAGATTTTGCGCACGACTATCCAATCGTGATAGGAGCCATCTTCGTTGCACAACAGCCTCTGTCTGTTGCAGCTTGGGATGCGATTTTGTCGCCTTTCTTGAAGTCGTCGGTTCGATATACGTTGGCCGAACTTGGCCCTCTCTTCTCAGGGCTTGAAGATTCTCACGTCCCGATTCGAGTCCTACACCAATCCTTCCGCGACTTTATTCTCGATCGGATCGATCCTCAATCAATCAGCCTTCATTGCAGTCCAGTGGATGTGAAGCGGGAGAATGCTAGAATTGCCCTGCGATGCACCAGAATCCTGACTCAGGATCTCTCCTCTTCAGAAGGCTTAGGACTGATTGAGGACTTGGACAGAGAAGATGAACTACCACGCATTCCTCCAGAGAAGTTATCCGAGCACTTGCATTATGCATGTCGTTACGTAGTTTATCACCTCAGTGGAGTCCAGGAATGGTCGCAGGAGCTCGATAAATCGGTTCGCACATTCCTCAGTCACCAAGCCACTCGCTGGGTTGAAGTCTGCGTGAGAATGGAAGGCTACATTAGTATCTCGATGCTCCCTGAGTGGCCCAAGGTGTGGATCACCAATTGTGTTAATGGAATTAGCTCATGTTTTCCCAGTTGGCAGTTGACCAAAGGTCAAAAGATGCTATCTACACGCTGGCCAATGTGCTTTTCCAGCTCCAGTCGAACCTGGAATTTTTTTCAAGATTCAGGGAGGCGTATGAAGCAGCAAAGGACTCAGTTGTACTCTGCCGTTGCCTTGCTTCGGTGAACTCAGAGTCCTGCACCCCGGAATTGGCCAGCTCGCTCGGCACTTTATATTTGGCTCTTTCGGATCTCGGACGGCCCTCGGAGGCGCTCCCATTGATCGAGGAGAGCGTCAAACTCTACCGCCAGCTCGTTGCCGTTCACCCAGGATCATACAACGCAGATTTGGCTTGGTCACTCAACAATCTATATAGCGCTCTTTCGAGACTCGGACGGCACTCGGAGGCGCTCCCATTTATCGAGGAAAGCGTCAAACTTCGGCGCAAGCTAGTTGCCATTCACCAAGGATCATACGCTCCAAATTTGGCTTTGTCACTCAAAAATCTATTTAACGCTTTTTCGAATCTTGGACGGCACTCGGAGGCGCTCCCATTCATCGAGGAAAGTGTCAAGCTCCAGCGCGAGCTAGTTGCCATTCATCCAGGATTATACAATGCAGATTTGGCTTGGTCGCTCAACAGTCTATATGGCGCACTTTCGAATTTCGGACGGCATTCGGAGGCGCTCCCATTCATCGAGGAAAGTGTCAAACTCCGGCGCGAGCTGGTTGCCGTTCACCCAGGATCATACACCCCAAATTTAGCTTTGTCACTCAACAATCTATATGACGCTCTTTCGAACCTCGGACGTCACTCGGAGGCGCTTCCATTCATTGAGGAAAGCGTTAAACTCTTCCGTGAGCTAGTTGCCGTCAACCCAGGATTACACACCTTAAATTTGGACATGTCACTCAACAAACTACGCACCGCTCTTTCAAGGTCGAATATGATTCCGGGGCACTAATTTGGACATCTTCCGAACTTCCGGACCTCCCCATTTCCATTTTCGTTTCATTCTCTCACTACCTGTATTATAATGCTGACAGCCCCGTTGAGTGCTCAGTTTGGGAATAGTGGGTGGTTGGCGTCGATTTTTAGTTTGATGAAACGTTTTTGGGTTTTCTTGGCCTGTCCGCTCACAACTGATCGTGGTTGTAACTTGATAATATCAAGAACACTTATTTTACCTGTCACTATTGTCCACGTTTCCGCACACCCTTGTATGCAATGAAGCCGTATATACAACTCCATGCATGTAGCCGTATCCTCCTGTCAAATCATTGCCATTGTGTTCGCGTGGAGTGGGAAGTCCGAGTGTTTGCCAGAACCATTTTTGATGATCGACTATTATATTTTCACGCATGGCTTAGAATTACGTAGATCCGCACTAGCGCACCCCCTTCGTTTCACCTGGCTTGGATCTGCGCTATCGTATCATCAAGCACTCTCATACCAAATGGTGCATGAGCAATTAATCCCAACTCATGTAAACCGGTTTCCACACGTGTATGCGTGAAACGACCGTGACACTCTGCAGCCTGGACAAGAGCTCTGTGCCCCTCGACCTCCTAATTCTTACTATCCGCAACAAGGCCATAATATAATACAGCATGCGAGGTTCGCACCGTGAAAATATTTACAAACCCAATCCACTAGCCATCTGTCCTTTCCTTCAAAAGTTGTGATATGCACCGAGTTAAAATAATTGCAGCGCTAACCGCTGGTGCTTGCAGGTCACGCCAGGAGGGTTCTGTCCTGCGACCAATTTTTGCTCCCGTTGTTGGAGGGTTGCAAGCCTCCGACCTCGTTTGAATTTGGAACATCCCATTTTCATGTGCAACTACACACTGATGGGAGCCATTGCCAAGGATAATTCAGCATGGTCCACTGTTCCGCAGTGAACTATATACCACCTGGGCCATCTCAGCCAATAGGTCCCCAGGCAAATATCGATGGTAGGTTTAAAGAGGGATACCTCTTCAAAGCTATTGCTCAGGAACCACGCAGAGGTCGCTGCTATTACGTGCAGATGTCGCTCCTTTCCGCGAACACTCCTAGACCAAATGGATCGACTCTCCCTCGGGAGCGCAATGGCTATCTCGAATGATGGGACGATGAGAATGCTAGAACCCTATATCTGCGTGTTAGCACTGGACCTCCAATGCTTCAGATCGATTGTCCCAGGCCCGTCAGTGTCCCCATGGGCTAAATTTGAGGATTCCGCTTTTGCATCTCCGGGAATCAGCATTCGTATCCAGGGACTGTATGACCCCACTGCAAAGGACTCAAAGTGTCTATTCCTCAATGTTGAATCTTCGGGACTCCCCGGGTCAGATCAGTTCTCGAACGCTATGCCTCTACGAACGACCCAGGCAGATCGAATTCGAATCGGAAAACCGTTCAATCACTTACTGGGCCGTGTCGCTGAACGAGATAAAATTCTATCCCATCCGACGATAGTTCTCAACGCTCGCCTCATAGTACTCAACACCAACGTTCCCTCCGAAGGTGAGATATCTCCTCAAGGAAACCAAGAAGATCGGTTTCACACAATTCGCCCTCATGTTTGATGTATCGAATTGGCGACGTCGAGGATTGTTCGTACGTGAAATATCATTTAATAGCTCTGATGTTGCTCATCTGTCACAGTAATTGCCATTGGATCGATGACGTTATCGTAGATTCTAGCCGCAGAGGAAAGGGTAAAAAATGACAGGGGCTGATTGTAATGAAGGTTTAACAATCGATGGGAGGCCCAGGGTCGCCCCATACTGGCCCCGATTTTAGAAGACAATGATATAAATCAGCAAGCTAGGGGCTGACGATAGAACCTTGGCGGACCTATCTGCACCATGGCTGCCTGAATTCACCGATTGCAGCAAAATGGATCGCTCTGAGACGTCCCAGGAATGTGTCAGAAGCGATAATACAAGTATGCATCCCACCGTATGGATGTGAAGCAGCTGCACGAGCCGCCCAAAATCCATACGCAGCGGAGAGTACGGTGCCATATCTAGTGTTACTATGACGAGCAATCTTGCCTGTCCAACAAGTGGAAGTCGATCCCGCATAGACACAGGCATCGTTCGTTTGAACATGAATGTCCTGACAATGTGACCAGATCATCTTGTACATACTGCTGCGATGAGAACTCTCGTACAATGATGGACAGGGTCCTGAAATTCCGGGTCGTCGCCATTGGAAGAATGGCCATCCCGAGAGATATATCCGGTGGCGAATGGGGTACTTGGTAAAATGGGCGGCACAAAACGAACGAACCCTGTGCCTTCGCATTCCCGGCGACCTTGTGTTCTCATTACTGTGATTGGCGGGGGAAGGGGCGCCTCCACCATTTCATACACCTACAGCAGTTTGCAAACGAGCGATTGCACCCCGAAGTACTGGGGCGGAGATGAGATCACGATACCGACAACGAATGCCGACATAGCACTTGAGGAAATCGTCTCGGGGATCTTGGAAGTGACACAAAACCGAGAGGCAGTGGTTTAAAGTTGGAACATTCCTTGGCACACACATTTTTCATGTGCAACCGAGCTTCGATGCTTCCGGATCTGGCCCGGATTCCATTCCACAGGGTAAACTATCGTTGAGGGTAAATGCAACAAGGAGATGATGTAAAGTGCGACTGGTCCTTGATTCCAATTACGCATTACCATACAATGCTCTACCCAAAGTCCAGATCGACCGAGTCGTAAAATCCTGAGGATTTTATGTGGAGGTAGTAATTGTGGCGACTACTAAGCTATGCCGAGCTGAGCCCAGGTGCATAGTGATGAGAGTTCGCTACGCATGCACATTTATATGACACAAGTAAGTGCGGACTCCCAGAGCCTACACAGTCCAAAAACAGGCGCGTAATGAAAAGAAAATAGAAGGCAGAGAACGGTTTTAATGGATCGAGAGACGGTGGGCCTTTTGTAATTAATATGACAGCGGCATGCAGCGACGAGCGATTAGAAGAGTCCGCCGGCGCTTGCCGCTGAGCCTCACAGTGTCCTTGCTAGCTTGCACGGATATTCGGTTCTCACTTGCATTTCTGAGGGGCCTGATGCTGGTCCTCACACACTCGATCGTTATGATCATCTTAACTAAATGCCCACACGGATATGCGGCCCCGATATTATTCGGCACTGCATCTGAGTATCACTGTCGCACAAAGGCCTCATCGACCTTCAGCATTTAGAAGCTCACCACGTGTGTTGAGTGTCCAAAGATCTCTCTCCTCCATCCACCGACCATGTCACTGCGGCAAACGGCTGAAGGTCTCAGGCGAAAGATCGATGAGATCCTCGCAGCAGGAGGCGACATGGCGATACCAATTCTCACAGCCGTCAACGTTGCGGCTGATATGTTCCCTCCTCTAAAGAGCGCAACTAACGGCGCACTCTTTATCATCGGCGAGGTTCAAGTTAGTAATGTTTCATGCTGGGATCGTGTGAGTCAAGGCTAATTAATGGTTTGGGTCGGGTAGAAGTTCAAGGAGAATAAGAAAGAATGGGAAGACTTTGGGAAATACGTTGTGGAAAATGTGGCTGAAGTAGTTGCAGCCATAAAGTCCTATGATCCGTCAACGGAAGAGGCAAAGCCATGGGTGGAAAGCGCTGAAAAGCTTGATCGGTAAGTTTCATCCATTTTTTGACAGTTTTCGTGTTTACATCAAGGTTCCAGTGTGCTACAAAAGATCAAGTTCGAAATCGAACAACGTCGCACAAAAGTAGAGAAACGGTCGGCTTTTGTCAATGCATTGTCCCACTTGAGAGATCCGGGAAGAATTGATGCTCTAAAGAAAGATCTTGACAAAGCATTGGCGTCATTCCAGGTAATTTTCCCCACGGTATAGTTCCATAACCATTCTTATTTTCTGCTGATGCAGCTCAGGACGAATTTAACAATTGGTGTTAAATTGTTGGCGATGGGAGATGACTCGATTCTTGGTAGACTCCGATACCCTGATATCGCCCACTATGATTCAACTCAAGCTTGCCTGGAAGGCACTAGGGTTGGTCTCATTGAACGAATTATGGCCTGGTGTCATAACACCGCGGATAGCGAGAATCGGTTGGCATCGCTGAGCGCTGTGGCCGGCGCTGGCAAGACTTCCATCGCGCACACGATTGCAGAGAGATGTAAAAGGGAAGGCACTCTGCTACTCTGCTTTTTCTTCAGGGAAGGTGAACAGTCCCGACCTGATTGCCTATTCAGCGGTATCGCTCAATCTCTGGCAAATCGTGACTCGGTTTACCGCATTGTCATCACCTCTACTCTTCGAAAGGACCCGACTCTTTCAACGGCTTCATTCACGATGCAGTTCAAGGAATTGGTGGCTTCGCCTCTTCTCCATAAACATCCATGTTCTGACCATCCAATGGTGGTCATCATTGATGCTTTAGATGAGTGTGACGAAGAAGCATTTGAGCCCCTTGCGAATATTCTTCGGGAAGAAGTGCCCAAATTACCTTCCTCCATAAAGTTCTTTATCACATCAAGACAATTCGATCGTGTCAATCGCTTCCTCTCATCCCACCCGCATATCGATCGTCTTACTATAGATCTCTCGGATGATGCAAACGTGCAGGACTGCGCGATGTATATACGTTCCCAGCTGCAAACGCTGAAGAATTGGCATCCCGATATACGGCATAGACTTGAGGATGAAGAGAAAGCAGTAGAAGGGATCTTGGAACGAGCAGGTGGCTTGTTTGTTTGGATCAGCACCATTTTTCGTTACATGAGGAAGGCCAGCAAGGACCTCATGAGGACGCTGGAGGGGCTGCTCAGCACAGGGGTGAAGGGATCGGCGGTTTCTGCTGAGGGGATGATGGATCGGTTGTATTCGAGCATTCTAAAGAAGTGCGGTTGGGAGGATGAAGATTTTGGGCACGACTATCCGGTTGTGATGGGGGCAATCTTCGTTGCACAACAGCCTCTGTCTGTTGCGGCTTGGGATGCAATTTTGTCACCATTCTTGAAGTCGTCGGTTCGATCTACATTGGCTGAACTTGCACCTCTCCTGTCAGGACTTGAGGATCCTGACAATCCGATTCGCATTTTACACCAATCTTTCCGCGACTTTATTCTAGAACGGATCAATCCCCAATTAATCAGCCTTCGTTGCAATCCAGTAGATGTGGGACGGGAGAATGCGAGAATTGCCCTCCGATGTACTGAGGTTCTGAATCAGGATCTCCCCTCTTTAGAGGGCCTTGGACTGATTGAGGACTTGCACGAAAAAGATGAACTGCCGCGCATTCCCCGAGAGGAGTTATCCGAGCACTTGCATTACGCATGTCGCTACATAGTTTATCACCTCAGTGGAATCCAGGAACAGTCGCAGGAGCTCGATAAATCAGTTCGCACATTTCTGAGTCAGCAAGCCACTCGCTGGGTGGAAGTCTGCGTGAGAATGGAAGGCTACATCAGTGTCTCGATACTCCCTGAGTGGGCTGAGGTGTGGACTATCAATTGCATTAATGAACTTATCCCAGTTGGTGGTTGACCAAAGGTCAATAGATGCTGTCTGCATGCTGGCCAATCTGCTTTCCCAGCTCCAGTTGAACCTGAGATTTTTTTTAAGATTCAGGGAGGCATATGAGGCAGCAGATGATTCAGTTGCACTCTGCCGTTGCCTTGTTTCCGTGGACTCAGAGTCCTACACCCCGAAACTGGCTTGGTCACTTGGCATTTTATATTTGACTCTTTTAGATCTCGGACGGCACTCAGAAGCACTCCCATTCATCAAGGAGAGCGTCAAACTCTACCGCCAGCTCGTTGCTGTTCACCCAGGATACACCCCAGGTTTGGCTTTGTCACTCAACCGTCTATATCTCGCTCTTTCGAATCTCGGACGGTACTCGGAGGCACTCCCATTCATTGAGGAAAGTGTCAAACTCTGGCGCGAGCTGGTTGCCATTCACCCTGGATCATACACCCCAGATTTGGCTCGGTCACTCAACAATCTATTCCCCTCTCTTTCAAAACTTGGACGGCACTCGGAGGCACTCCCATTCATCATGGAAAGCGTCAGACTCTACCGTGAGCTGGTTGCTGTTCACCCAGGATTCTACACCCCAGAGTTGGCTCAGTCACTCAGTAATCTATCTCTCTCTCTTTCGAATCTTGGACAGCACTCGGAGGCACTCCCATTCATTGACGAAAGCGTCAAACTCCGGCGCGAGCTGGTTGCCATTCACCCAAGATCATACACCCCAGATTTGGCTCAATCACTCAATAATCTATATCTCTCTCTTTCAAATCTTGGACAGCACTCGGAGGCGCTCCCATTCATCGAGGAAAGTGTCAAACTCCAGCGTGAGCTGGTTGCCATTCACCCAGGATCATACACCCCAGATTTGGCTCGGTCACTCAACAATCTTTTTCTCTCTCTTTCAAAACTTGGACGGCACTCGGAGGCACTCCCATTCATCACGGAAAGCGTCAAACTCTGGCGTGAGCCGGTTGCCGTTCACCCAGGATCATACACCCCAGATTTGGCTCAGTCACTCAACAATCTATATATCTCTCTTTCGAATCTTGGACAGCACTCGGAGGCACTCCCATCCATTGACGAAAGCGTCAAACTCTGGCGCGAGCTGGTTGCCATTCACCCAGGATTATACACTTCAGATTTGGCTCGGTCACTCAACAATCTATATCACGCTCTTTCAAATCTCGGATGGCACTTGGAGGCGCTCCCATTCATCGAGGAAAGCATCAAAGTCCAGCGCAACCTAGTTGCCGTTTACCCACAATCATACAATGCAGATTTGGCCCGATCACTCAATAGTCTATATGGCGCTCTTTCGAATCTCGGACGGCACTCGGAGGCACTCCCATTCATCGAGGAAAGCGTCAAACTCCAGCGTGAGCTTGTCGCCGTTCACGCAGGATCATACACCCCAGATTTGGCTTGGTCACTCAACAGTCTATATCACGCTCTTTCGAATCTCGGACGGCACTTGGAGGCGCTCCCATTCATCGAGGAAAGTGTCAAACTCCAGCGCGACTTAGTCGCCGTTCACCCAGGATTAGATTTGGCCTGGTCACTCAACAGTCTATATGGTGCTCTTTCGAATCTCGGACGGCACTCGGAGGCGCTTCCATTCATCGAGGAAAGCGTTAAACTCCGGCGCGAGCTGGTTGCCGTTCACCCCAGATCGTGCACCCCATATTTGGCTTGGTCACTCGATAATCTATATCTTGCTCTTTCGAATCTCGGACGGTACTCGGAGGCGCTCCCGTTCATCCAGGAAAGCGCCAAACTCTACCATGAGCTAGTTGTCGTCAACCCAGGATTACACGCCTCGAATTTGGATTGGTCGCTCAACGCACTACGCACCACTCTTTCTGACCTCGGACGTGATTCTGAGGCACTAATTTGAACAACTTGGGATCTTGGACCTTCCTATTCCCCTTTTCATTGCATTCCCTTGTTTGCTACTTGTAGTGCAATTTGAGAATACTGGGGGGTTGACATTGATTTTTAGTTTGGGACTATTGATGAAATATTTACAGGTTTTCTTGACTGTTCGGTTCACAACTGATCGTGATCCTAACTTAATAATATCATAATATCAAGAAAACTCATTTATTTGTACCCACTATTGCCCATGTTTCCGTGCAGGTAAGTAACCCAACTGTATACAACTCGATGTAGCACGTTACCTTGCTTGCAAGGTCACTTTCCGGGTCCACAATTCGTGGGAATCTTCACTTTCCCACCCCACCGATCTCTCGTCCCATTGGCTACTACGAATCCTGACTCGTGATCTCTTCACGTGCTTTTACATGTCCCATTCATTTCGTGAATTTATTCGTTTATTCGTTTATTCGTCACAAGGTCGTGATTATGTGGTTTCGATCCGTTGTCCACTCTGCCACTCTGCCACTCTGCCATCTGAGTCCTCTCCCATCTGGTGCGCGTCTCCTTCCCCAATATTTCATCTTCTACCTCCAAGATTGGACTTGCTGGTTGTCTGAAGAGCCTCTCATTGAATGCTTGCAAAAGTCGGATCGTGTCACGGCCAGAGCTTCGCGATAACGCCACATAAGTGTTGAATGGTGTCAGCCCTCCTGTTGGTGGAGGTGCAAGATCGATGATGACATGCCGGATTGTTTGGCCTTGAGATAATCTGTGAAACCATATGCCCCTGTCATAGGCAGCTGTCGGTGCTTCACTGTCTTCGATTTCCCATCGACAACATCCACCCGATCTCTGGCCACTTCTTCCTTATTGACTCTTTCGGAGTGTCTGAATCCTTAACGTACCTGTTGTCAATCCCCCACCTTCTGTCTACACCACTACAACAGCCGTTGCCATTGGCTCGTCTACCATTATCTCAGTCATCACAACATCATCAACTCCTCCTGCGTCGACAATATTCAGTGACTCTTCAGGCTTCAAAACTCGCAGGGATTCTGAAGGCTTAATCGGTGGCGTGATTGGTGGCGTCCTGGCTAGCACACAAGCAAGTAATCGCTCCAGCTTGACTCAAGAGATGTTATTTTCAGGTGCTCGTTCATTTGTGTCCAACATAGTCTCTCCCTGTGGGTCAAGGGCTGAGGAAAGGATGGGTCGCCCTCTGAGCGCCCGTTTCCTGGGCCTTCTTTCTCACCCACTAAATGTCAACGCCATCAACATTAGGTTTTCAACTGTTGTGTGATACACTCTTATGTAAAAATTTCTCTCCACACCGCACCGCCCGCCAAAATGACAACGTTATTGTGCGCGTCTCTTCCCTGCAATTTGAATACTTGTTATTCTGCCACGGGTTCAAATTCCCACAAGCAAGGTCGTGGCTGCGTAAGCGGCCCTTCTAGTAATAAGCTTCAATCAGATAGGTTATATCCTGACACCACAATCAAGCAGTTCGTGGAACGAATGCCTGTGGAGCCATCGCCTGGTGAAGTAGGAAATCCAAAGCATGAGGCAGATCGATTATGATGTTCTAGTTCGAGTCATTGATGTCAAGTAGCGACGAGTAGTTGAAGCACCCATTTCCGACAAGACTCCGCAATCTGCGCTCTTCGAGCTGACTACCGTTCAGTGTCTACCACCAATTCCGTGGCATAATCACATATCCGGGCCATAATATATACACTTTGACAATGCCCATGACCCAGCTAGACTAACAGCTGCACTTCGCTCCTTCAAAAACCCGCTACATAGTTTCATCCCAATCATTTGCCTTGCTATTCCTGCCTGCGCCTCTGGGAGGCTGCATTACCTTGATCTTTCCACCAAAGCTACTGTCGGTCAATGGATCGTTCTCCCTCCATTTTCGTCCAACCCTTCCACATTGTCACGGAGCAGACCTCGTATGCTGGTATCATGACCCCGTGGTGGATAGTGTGAGCGAGCTTAAGAAGTGGAGGCGCACAGAGCTCTTGCCCGGGTTGCAGAATGTCACGGTCGTTCCACGCATACACATATGGAAATCGGATTACATGAGTATCCACCGAGTCACCATAAAATTGCAGCGCTAATTACTGCTGGTGCCAATTTTTGTGACATTCCCAAGCCCTCGTACTCCTTTGAATGTTTAAAGGTAAAGGCTATGACGCGTGGTCCTCTTTATACACGAACTACGTCGCTGACGTGTCTCACTGCATAAAAGGGTTTAATCCAGGTTGCTTGCGAATTCAGAGACCTCAGCGGTTGTCGGGGCTGTCGGGACACCACTCTTTCGGCGCCCATCTAGTCGCACACTCTGCAGTAGTTTAGCCAGTTGAATGCAGTCCGGATCAGACCGAGGCTCAGTCGCACATGAAAAATGCGGGCGCCAAGGGATCTGAAGCACTACGAATGAGTCAAGGCTCAATACGATCACGAACTAAGCCCTCTTGGCATGCCTGTGGCCGAGCACCGGTGACAACGTGGCAAATCCTTACTCTCAAGGTCCCTGAGATCATTTCAACTGGTATGTCGGCATTCATCACTGGTGTCGCGATCTCACCGCTCCCCTAGTGCTTCGTTCGCAAGTGCAGTAGGTGAAATGGCGGAGACGCAGCTTACCTCACCGCTCACACAGGTGACGATGCCACTGAAAACGAGGCGGGTGTAGGATTATAGTACTGTTCATCTACACTCCCGAGGGAGAGTAATTCTGAGTCGCCGGCTCTGCTCCCTCCATTCATTGAGTCGAGGAGCGGGAAAGAGCAACGGCATTTGCAAAAGTAGTTCACGGAATGGCAGCGACTTTTGCACGGTTCCTGAGCAATAGCTTTGAAGAGGCATTCCTCCTCGAAACTCTCTTTACCTGGGGACTTATTGGCTGAGATGGCCCATATTTCGCTGCGGAATAATAAATCATGCTGTATTATCCTTGGCAATGGCTCAGCTAGTTGATTGCAATCCCGACCATCGGGGTGCAGTTGCACATGAAAATAGGGTGCCAAGAGATGTTCATGTTGGAATTTCAACAACCGGTCCCGACATCTGAGTGACAAGTGGTGGATTTTTCTTTTTGGGGTGACGAAAGACGCTTGCCGAGACACAAGCAATATCTCACCGCTGACGGCGGAGTGAGGTTTGAGCCTCCCCTTCTTTTTATACACTGAGGTGGAGATCAGGATTCGAATGGTGGCGGAAAACAAAAACAACACGCAATCAGCGAACAGAGTGAAAAACAGGAAAGAGCCAAAAAAGTAAATACACGGGATGCTTCCCGCCAAAGGTAACACACCCTGACACAAATTATTTATTGCTCTTTCCCTCTCGTCGCGCTCTTGTTGCTAATAGGGAAACGATGTCTCGGTAAGGTGAAAGACTCTCCATGACCACGTCGTTCAAGCAGCTTAATTGGTCGACTCTTCATACTCGATAAATAGGTATGCACCCATTGGCATGTCGTGAGCTGACACACGCGAAGGGCTTCCATGCATATATTCACATAGTGAGATGAGAAATTTCACATGCGTGTGCGTTCAGTGTTGTCGATGCACTCATCAACGGTGTCACTATCATAACCGAGCCTTGTCATGATAGGAGGAAGATATTATATTAAGAGCATTCCCCGATGATGGGACTATCCTGCTGGTCGGAAACGCATCTTTGGGCATGTGGTGCCGCTTTAATCGTGTTTTTACAACCCACTATGTATCAAGCAGTGCGGCGTTCGCACCCGGGGCATAAGATGAGTAAGATGGCTGCTCCTCACAAGCAGCCGAAGGCGTTTGCGTTCCTAAATCATTAGTAAGAATTAAGACGTGTGCACTGGACCAATATGCCAAGGCTCTCAAGTTTCACGAGGGCGGTGTGTTAGAATGACTCCGCAAACCATGAGGATTAATATGATGACTCGGGAGCTACATCCGAGAGAGATGTGAGAGACGAGGCGCGGATCCTCAGCAGGTGTAGAAGGGAAGTCATTCAGGCTCATCCCCGAGCTTGGGTACGCCAGGGAATAATACCAAGCCACGAAACCGGGATGACAGCACCCCATTTTCATGTGGAACCGCGGTGCCCCGATGGTCCGGATTGCATTCAACGAGCTAAGCCACCGCCAAAGACGATGCACCGTTCCGCAGCAAAATATATTACCGCCTAGGCCATCTCAGTCAATAAGTCCCTAGGTAAATATCGATAGAGTTGGGAGGAATGCCTCTTCAAATGCTGTTGCCCAGGAACCTCGTAAAGGTCGCTGCTATTATGTGAACTACTTTGCACACGTTGCTCTTTTCTGTGAATGCTCGACCGAACGAATGGAGGGACCGGCGACTTGGGATTACTCTCTCTTGGGAGTGTAATGGCTATCTCGAACGATGCGACGATGAGCAATGCTAGAATCCTGTACCCACCTGCAGTGTTAAGCCCTGGGCCTCCAATGCTTCAGATCAATTGCCCAGGATTCCGCTTTCGCGTCTCCGGGAGTCAGCATTCGTATTCAGGGACTGCAAAGGACTCTTGAATGTTGGATTTTCAGAACTCCCTGGGTCAGATCCGTTCTAGACCGTCATGCCTTTACAAAAGACCCAGGCAGATTGAATTCGAATCGGGAGACCATTCTACCACTCACTGGACATGTTCCTGAACGAGATTAAAGTAAACAATTTCTATCCCATCCGACCGTAGTACCCAATACCATCGTTCCCTCCGAATTTGAGATGTCTCTTCAAGGAAACCAAGAAGTCTGGTTTCACATAACTGGCCCTCATGTTTGATGTGTCAAATTAGCAACGTCGAGGAATGTTTGTACATGAAACATCACGCGACGGCCCTGGTGTTGCTTTTCTATGTATATCCGTCGCAGTAATCGCTATTGGATCGATGATGTTATTGTCGATTCTAGCCGCAGAGGAAAGGGTGAAAAACGACAGGGACTGATTGCGATGAAGGTTCAACAACCGGTGGGAGGCCCAGGGTCGCCCCTTACCGACCCCAAAGAAGCGCACAATTGAACGAGGCGCTTACGATGCCCAGAGGTTTTATCAGCAGACAAGAAGACAATCATATAAATCAGCTAGCTGGGCATCGACGAGGCTGACGATAGAACCTTGATGGACCTATCTGCGCTCCATGACTCCCTGAACTCTCTGATCACAGCAAAAAAGGATTGTTCCTCTATTGGGGCCCACAACCGGGAGACGTTCCAGGAATGTGTCAGAAACGAAAATACAAGTATCCACGAACCGTTCAGAACCTACAAGCAGCGGAGAGTACGGCACCATATCTAGTGCTACTACCATGAGCGATCTTGCCTGGAAGTCGATCCCGCATGGCACGGGTATCATTCGTTTGAACATGACATAAATGTACTGGTGATCAGGGTACATGTGCCTAGAGGAGTTTGTTTCCGCGATCGGTTTTTGGTCCTATGCCAAGAACAAACTGACAAAGAACTGAGGGTGTGTTGCAGTGGTTTATTTAAATTTGGAACATTCCTTGGCACGCGCCTTTTTCATGTGCGATGCTCCCGGGTCTGGCTCAGATTGCATTCAACAGGGTCAACTACTGCTGAGGATAGACAATTGATTAGTCCGGTCCTTGTTTCCAATTACGCATTACCACATACATGATGTTCTGCCCAGAGTCCGGATCAACCAATTTGTACTATCCCGAGGTGCTATGGATTGCGGTGACTACCAAGCTATGCTTAGCTGAGCTTCGCTGGGTTAAGCGGGCGCATAGTGATAGCAGTTCACTTCGATATAACACAAGCGACGAGCTGAGTGCGAATGCATATTCCACAACCACACATCACCGTATATGTGCCCGCAAAGGAACATGCATAATACAGGTGGGGAACGGAAGGTGTCGAAACTAAAGCTAGTACTGTAGGTGTAATTATATTCACTGATTGGCAAGCGTTCAACTAATGACGCGTCTGGGGGGGATGGTTACGGAACGCCTGCAGTGGGCACTTCCAGGGTGTACTTAGTCCAAAAACAGGCGCTTAATGAAAACAAAAGAACATCGAAGGCAGAGAACGACTTCAATGAATCGAGAGACGGTGGCGCTGATGACACAGTAAGATCCCACCGGCGCTTGCCGCTGAGCCTCACGGTGCAATCCGTTTCTTGCTAGCTCGTATGGAGTTTTTATTCGGTGCTCAGTCTGCTTGCATTTCTGAGGGGCCTGATTCCGGTCCTCATACACTCGATCGTTATGATCATCTGCCCCCCAATAATTAAATGCCCACACGGATAGACGGCCCTGGGTATTCACTAGCTCAATGCATCCAAGTATCCTTCCATAATCGTACAAAGGCCTCACGGGCCTTGAGCATTTAGGGGCTCACCACGTGTGTTGAGCGCCCAAAGATCTCTCTCCTCCATCCACTTATCAACATCGACCATCATGTCACTGCGACAAAAAGCTGAAGGTCTCAGGCGAAAGATCGATGAGATCATCGCAGCGGGAGGCGATATGGCGATACCAATTCTCACAGCCATCAACGTTGCGGCTGATATGTGCCCTCCTCTAAAGAGCGCGACTGGCGGCGCACTCTTCATCATTAGCGAGGTTCAAGTTAGTAATTATTCATGCTGGGTTCGCGCGGACAAAGGCTCATGGTTTGGGTTGGGTAGAAGTTCAAGGAGAATAATAAGGAATGGGAGGACTTTGGGAAATACGTTGTGGACAACGTGGCTGAAGTAGTTGCAGCCATAGAGTCCTATGATCCGTCAACGGAAGAGGCAAAGCCATGGGTGGAGAGCGCTAAAAAGCTCGATCGGTAAGTTTCATCCATTTTTGACAGTCCTCGTGTTCACATCAAGCCCCAGCGTGCTACAGAGGATCAAGTCCGAAATCGAACAAAGACGTACAAAAATAGAGAAGCGGTCGGCTTTAATCAATGCATTGTCCCACTTGAGAGATCCGGGAAGAATTGATTCGCTAAAGAAGGATCTTAACAAAGCATTGGCGTCGTTTCAGGTAATTTTTGTCTCGGCGTGGTTTCATAACCATTCTTATTTTCTGCCGATGTAGCTCAGGACGAACCTAACAATTGGAGTTAAATTGTCGGCGATGGAAGATGACTCGATTCTTGGTAGACTCCGATACCCCGATATCGCCCACTATGATTCAACTCAGGCTTGCCTAGAAGGCACTAGGGTCGATCTCATTGAACATATTATGGCCTGGTGTCGTAACACCGCGGATAGCGAGAATCGGCTGGCATTGCTGAGCGCTGTGGCCGGCGCTGGCAAGACTTCGATTGCGCACACGATTGCAGAACGATGTGCAAGGGAGCGTTCCCTATTGCTAAGCTTCTTTTTCAAGGCGGGCGAACAGTCGCGGCCTGATTGTCTGTTCAGCGGGATGGCTCGAGCGTTAGCAAAGCGCGATCAGGTTTATCGCTCCTCCATTATCTCTGCCCTTCAGGACGACCCTACACTCTCAACAGCACCATTCGCGATGCAATTCAAGAGATTGGTGGCTTCACCCCTCCTGCATAAGCCTCCACTTTCGGACCATCCTCTGGTGGTCATCATCGATGCTTTAGATGAATGTGACGATGAAGCATTTGAGTCCCTTGCAAATATTCTTCGGGAAGAAGTTCCTAAATTACCATCCCCCATAAAGTTCTTTATCACATCGAGACAATTCGATCGTGTCAATCGCTTCCTCTCATCCCATTTCCCTATCGATCGTCTTTCCATTGATCTCTTGGATGACGCAAACGTGCAGGACTGCGCTACATACATACGTTCCCAGCTGCAAACGCTGAAGAATTGTCATCCCGATATGCAGCATAAGCTTGAGGACGAGGAGAAAACGGTAAAGGGAATCTTGGAACAAGCAGGTGGCCTGTTTATTTGGATCAGTACCATTTTTCGCTACATGAGGAAGGCCAGCAAGGACCCTATTCGGACGCTGGAGGGGCTGCTCGGCACAGGGGTGAAGGAATCGGCGGTTTCTGCTGAGGGAATGATGGATCGGTTGTATTCAAGCATTCTAAAAAAGTGTGGTTGGGAAGATGAAGATTTTGGGCACGACTATCCGGTTGTGATGGGGGCAATCTTCGTTGCACAACAGCCTCTGTCTGTTGCAGCTTGGGATGCAATTTTGTCACCGTTCTTGAAGTCGTCAGTTCGATATACGTTGGCTGAACTTGCACCTCTCCTGTCAGGACTTGAGGATCCTGACAATCCGATTCGCATCTTACACCAATCTTTCCGCGACTTTATACTAGAACGGATCGATCCCCAATCAATCAGCCTTCGTTGCAGTCCGGTAGATGTGGGACAGGAGAATGCGAGAATTGCCCTCCGATGTACTGAGATTCTGAATCAGGATCTCTCCTCTTTAGAGGGCCTTGGACTGATTGAGGACTTGTACGAAAAGGATGAACTGCCGCGCATTCCCCCAGAGAAGTTATCCAAGCACTTGCATTACGCATGTCGTTACATAGTTTATCACCTCAGTGAAGTCCAGGAACGGTCGCAGGAGCTGGATAAATCAGTTTGCATATTTCTCAGTCAGGAAGCCACTCGCTGGGTTGAAGTCTGCGTAAGAATGGAAGGCTACATCAGCATCTCGATACTCCCTGACTGGCCTAAGGTGTGGATTATCAATTGTGTTAATTAAAAATCAGCTCACGTTTTCCTGGCAGTTGGTGGTTGACCAAAGGTCAAAAGATGCTATCCGCATGCTGGCCAATGTGCTTATCTGGCTCCAGTCGAACCTGCAATTCTTTTCAAGATTCAGGGAGGCATATGAGGTAGCAAAGGATTCAGTTGTACTTTGCCGTTGCCTTGTTTCCATGGACTCAGAGTCCTACACCCCGGAATTGGCCATGTCACTTGGCACTTTATATTTAGCTCTTTCGGATCTCGGACGGCACTTGGAGGCGCTCCCATTCATCGAGGAGAGCGTCAAACTCTGCCGCCAGCTCGTTGCTGTTCACCCAGGATCATACGCCCCAGATTTGGCTTTGTCTCTCAATAATCTATATAGCGCTCTTTCGAAACTTGGACGGCACTTGGAGGCGCTCCCATTCATTGAGGAGAGCGTCAAACTCTGGCGCGACCTAGTTGCCATTCACCCAGGATCATACAACGCAGATTTGGCTTGGTCACTCAACAGTCTATATATCGCTCTTTCGAAGCTCGGACGGCACTCGGAGG